ATTTTGGAGGGGAAGAGGATTCAACGTTCTCTTTGGAGCAAGTGTAGTTGCAGCGGCTAGGCTTAGCAACTCGATATAAGCCGCTGCTGGCCAGCATAAAGATGTCTTTCCTGTTATCCTGACCAAATGAGAATATGAACCCTAATGCAGCGACAGAGCTTCCTGCCTCGGCAACGCACTGGATAGGAGAGTCCAGAGCACAACCGACCGCGATTTTAGCGGTAGTGAAGTTTCCGCTACCTTCAGGAGTTTCTAGTCCTGTCCATACACCACTGGCATACAAATCTGCATAAAGATACCTGCAAACATAATTTACATACTGCTGTGAAGGGTCATAAAGGATGTTTCTAGAGTAGGAGCACTCATCAGATGATGTAATAGACCCTCAAAGTGGTGCTACACCATTCAACGGGACATGATAACCAAAGAGATGTGGTATTTGCAGATGTTCGTATTGAGCTTACCTTCCATACATGCACGGATCTGTTGTGGATCGGTAAAAGTAGCCTCCTGTGATCGATGCGGATCCTTCAGCCTTGTTGACTTCAGAGTGTGTGTATCCCATTACAGGAAAAATTGGGTTAATGGAGCTGGCAGATGTATTTCCTCCTGGAGATTTAGGGGGATTGTATCGAAAAGGCCCCTCGTAAACACGCCATCCAAAGTTTCCGCCCTTGGTGACTAGATCAACCTCTTTGTATTTATCCTATACAAACAATAACTTGAGCATTGATGATACCAGAAGCTTGCAATAAATGTGCAGAAAGCATGTGTATATCGGCAAATGTACGAAAACCAATCTCAGTTACTACCTGACCAACATCTGCGCAAAGGAAGTAGGAAGGTCTTTCAAGATCAAAACTACATCGCCAAGGATTTCGAAATCCTAAAGCCCAAATTTCCGGCTGTAGTTCCTCATCTTCGGTAAAAGGATTATCTCCAGGGACAGAATAATTTCCCCATAGGCCAAGGTCAGCAATTTCTTTTGCACCTGCAAACAAGTATTACATAACTGAGGGAAACCTACGAAGAATATGGTGTCCAAAAGCCCCTTAACTTTTTATTTTTGCCATTACTCACTTGGTAAGTTATCGATGTCGAGCCTCATAATCTTTCCAAGCAAGGATTTTTTGTTCTATGCGAAATTGTAAGGATCACCTATGCTTCCACCGTCTCCCATCATGAAGTACAAATATCCGTCTTTAGGTCCAAACAGAATTTGACCTGCATGATGGGTAGTAAATGGAAGGCCCATGGTGAATATTCTTCTGACTTCAAGTGGTTTTACACTAGTGAACTGAAATCCAGGGCAAGAACAGTATCAATTAGCAATGTTCGCGTGTAAAGTACGCGAAATAACGCTTGAATCATGCAGAAATTTACCGACGAAGGTTGTGGCGTGGTAGCATTGGCAGTGAACTCTGCTATGATACTGTGGTACTGACATGGCTGCCCACCATTATCCGGTTCCAGCTTTGAAGGATCGCATCCCACATCAGAGTTACACGAGCATCTTCCTGAACATTGTGGCCATTTAACCTTGTCACAGTTGAATGAAGCAAAGAAACGCCCGTTTTGGACATAGTTAGGATGAAATGCTAATCCCATCATTCCAAACTCAGTGTCGGAATATACTTGATCAGTTATATCAAGAAAGGGATTTGCTTCGTCGATCACCAATGTTTCTCCTGATCCTTCCTCCGGAACAGTTGCCAGCCATACTTTACCTGCTTGGTCGGATAAGAAAATACGATTTGACCCATCGGGATGGGCTACCATGTTGAGATACGATCCATTTCCAATTTTTTCAAGGCACATACCACTCGGGGGACTTGAAATTTCAGTGCTGTTGAACGACACAGGTCCACCATCAAAACAGAACGATTCATCATTTGAAGATCCACCAAAGGCGTTGCAGAAAGCAGTTTTTGACTGCCATGTATCACTCAGCTTGGAAGTAGAATTGGACGGTGTTCCACCTCCAACTTGCAACGAAAATGGGGAGTTTAACAACGCTACATTTTGGCATTCATCCCAGACCTTGGAACAAAAGTCAACTCCGCCAGGTTGGTGCTGTGTTGAGTTGCAGAGGAGAGGAACTTGTCGAGGCGCTGATTCAATTCGATATAGCTCAGCAGAAAACTGATCGCATTTCTGCAAAGCATGTCGTATTCAAATACACATGAACCGGTACCAACGGTTTCATATCACTAAACACAGTAGCTAGCAACAAGAAGTAAACAAGCAAAGAATCTCTTACCGAGCAAAGTATTGATTTCACAAGAGAGGCACAACCAAGATCAGAGACATTCATTGCCTTAAATAGATTCTGCAACCGCAAATCCTCAGCGGAATCACAGCAAACGCTACCATTGTACCGACAGAAATTAAGCGGAGTCTTCGGCGTGAAGGGTGATCCTATTCCAAATTAAACAGGCAAAGAAATTAACTCGCAGGGAAACGAAAGCTAAAAAATGCAGAAGTCGGCCTTTTTCCGAACAGCGAAACAAAGCATGTAAAAATGAAAAGGGCAACCAGATAATAGGAGAGAAACACTTACTCATATTTGTACACAAGGGAAGGGAAGAAGAATAATCAGTAAGCACAAGCATGTTACAGAACATGAACACGAAAACAGCGAAAAAACCACTCATCTTTCAGAACAGACAAGTAATCACTGACAGCAACGACGAACAAAACCCGAATTTCTATCTTTCCAACAGAGAGTTGAGATTACCCAATGATGAACACATAAAAAATTGGAAGCTAGGTTAGGTTAGATTACGTGGTAGTCACCACTCTATCACCTTGTCTAGTTAGCGAGCTGTGATTAATTACCACCTTTTTACTTGATTTAGAGCTGCTGCCATTTTTAAAGAGAAGGTTGAGGTGAATGTGCGTGTTGCACATTGGTTCTTGCAGTCCCTCAATCTCTCTCAGTCTCCTATATATCTTCTTGTAACTTGTAAATCTTTTTCATGGTGGAATATACAAATCTTATACCAAAATTCAACATAAAAGCACCAAATACGATATAGTTGGTTTTCTTTTCTCCTTTTTCTCGGTAGTTTCTTATCGTTTTGTTGGGTGACATTGTCGTCTTTAGCACCAAACCAGAAACCCTTGACGTTTTTCTGGTTTGAAAATCCATGGATTGAAGCTTCAGAAAAAATCAATTAAAAAAAAAGCAAAAATATATCTTATAATTTTGTAGGAATAAATAATAGCAATGCGGCAATTTCTTATCAGTTGACTTTACTCGACGATCTTAAACATATAAGCAAAGAACGCGGCAAGTTGACTATTTGAACGTGCTCAACAACAATAGGATAATAGTGAAATTTATGTATGGTTGAAATCATTGGCACTTTCTTTTTGCTCGGATGACTTCCTTAAGGATATTTATTACGTTTCAAATACAGTACAAAGATTGGGTTTGGTTATACAAATAATTGGGTTTAGCAACCGGAGCTATCATTTTGCATGTGGTGTACTATTAAAGTGAATAGAGTGTTGGATTTGTATCTGGTTCAATAATTAAGTAGGTAAAGTGTTGAATTTTCAGCCATCAATTACTCTAGAAGAAAAATTATGCATTCCAATCCTTCCAAAAATGGGAGGATTAGAAAAGAGAAGTTTTCTTCATGTCTAATTCATCATCTCAAAATGAAAAATCATTCTCCTTTCCATTTAAAGCTTATTAATTGATTTGCCCCCTAAAATTGTCACTTAGTCTCATTTTACCCTTAAAACTTGTTTTGTCTCACTTTGCCTCCTGAAACTGCCATTACCGTCTTCATGCCATTTTTGTTCATTCCGTCAAGTAATCACTAAATTAAAAGGTAGTATGAACATTTCATTTTTTATGTAGGCAGAGATAAGCCCAAATGCTTAGGGATGTGACACTTACATGTGAATTTTGGTTGATCACATATTTACCAGCCGCATGTGAATTGTGGCGAAAAAAGTTGGAAAATTATTAGGGTTAAGTAAAAGAGGATAAAGGAAATTGAGCTTGCGGGGTCCAGTCCCTAAGTTCAATCTCAACTAATGTCCATATTAATTTAAGGCATATTTGACCAAATTGATAAAAATTAGGTGAACTGAGATTAAATGAGATGAAAATGGCAATTTTAGTGGGTAAAATGAGACAAAACAAATTTCATGGGTAAAATGAAACTAAATGCCAGTTTCAGAGAGCAAATCAAATAATAAACTTACATTTAATAGGTTATCCATTTCAACCTCCCTGAAGACATAAGCAATTGACTACGACACTATCAAGCTCTCCTACCCATGATAAGAAGAAAAGTCAAAGGTATTAAAGATATGATTAATTACTAAATTCTATCTTGAATACTCTCCTAATTGAAGATCAACTCAAACAAGCAAGATCTCCAATCATATACAATCAAGAATATTTCCAAGATAATATTCCCAAGATATTATCTCATAATTAATATCTTTGGATTATTCTTCCTCCATCCATCCTATAGATGAATGGCAATCAAATGTTGTCATGTGTAGCAAAATCCTATATCCATAGCCAGCCCTAACTCTATAAATACCTCTTGCTACGGACTTAGGTCCTAAACTCTCTCTCCAGAGAAACTGACTTAGGCATCAGAGTTCCATTGGCCAACCCCTCATTTGTTTTGTGTTGCAGGTACAATTTCGTTAAGATTGAAGAAATTTGCTGCCACAACTTTGATTTTAACAAAAAAATAACATTACACTGATAAAATTGCAGAGTGTTTGAGAGAACTTGGTAGGAGAAATATAGAAGGGCAATGAACATTTTAAGTGCATATCAATCTTCACCAAAAATGGTTGAGTAAAGAGCTAGCCTACATCTCTTATTCAATGAATGCGTACGTGGAAACAAATAAACAAAATTGTTGAGCCTTGAATACCAAATTTGCAAACAAATGAAAAAAAAAATTAAGGAACTGAATCGTTCTGAAATTACTTGAATTACTTCAGTTGTCTTCTAGCTATAGCTACTTCACACTTGTTAGACTGAAGCATGCTGCCGCACTCTTGAGATCATTCTGTGAAACATGTTCGATCGATTGCGTGGTAGCCTTGAACGATGATTCAGCACTGCATATAAGTAAATTTAATTTGTTAAACAGTATAATTATCATTATTATTTTATGTAAGCAATATTTTTCTATGAAATCATCTAAACTACGGTGCAGAAAGGGAAGAACACTGACGTAGCTAAGTAGGCTAAACAAGTCAGCAATTAGACAATTGACTCATTTGGAAGTGTTTTGAAAATTACTAAAAGTGTTTTTGTTGAAAATGTTTTCAAAATCAATCCCTTTTAAAAATTCAAGTGGATCCTGAAAAAGACTTTAAGTACTTCCAAGAAGCACATAAAAACGCATAGTGATTTGGAACTCAAAATCGAATTTATCAAAAGCATTTAAAGTGGATTCTGAAAAAGACTTTTTAAGTGCTGCTTCTTTTGAAAAATACTTACACTGATTCAATTTCACCAATTTAAAATCACTTCCAAATGAGCACAATTAGTAAATTAAATCTCAAATTGTAGAAGACAATTAATTAAATATTGTACATACCTAGACTCACAGCCTTCTTTAGATTCGATATAAGATTGTCGATCATCAGCAATTGTATCAAATGGAATGTCATCATAGTCATGAGGAACGTCCATTTCTTGGTGAACAGGAAAGGCTTGTGAAGAAACCAAACTGGACTGAACAGCCATAAGTTGTTCGACATTGTTATCGTTATAGTAAGGATGTTGAACCCTAAGAGTTTTAACCATATTATCATTGTCGTCAATATAAACCCCATTAAGTCCATTTGCAAGATACTCATTACCCACCCAGGACATTCCACCACTGGCACCAGAAGCACCAGAAGCACCAGAAGCGCCAGAAGCATATTGATACGGATATTGATGTTGTTGATAAAGTGTCAGAGTCGCTGCGTCGGTGTTTGTAGGTATACCTAGCTGCAACTGCGGTGAAGGAGAAGAGTAGTGCGGTGAGGAAGAAGGTAGTCGATATTGACATTGGTCCTTGCAAATTGCAAGATGTGTCCTCACGTATCGAAGCTCTTCTAGGGCTTGCTGTAATTGGAAATTCAATTGGTTTATGATGCCCATACACCCGGTGACTGAAAATTTGGCACGCATATTGGACTCGTATATGATCGATGTCATAGCCTCCTCCTCTTGCTCTGGATGAACTTTCTTTAGAATCTTCATTATGTTCGAAACGCCATACAATCGGTGGGCGTTTTGAAACATCATCGGTTGATCTGCCGGGAAGTGTGGAGCAAGAGCGCAGTCCTTAGCGCACTTTCGTCTATGGTATTTGCACGCAGCACAGGCTTGGCTTGTGCCTCCTTTTATCGTCATTGCAGGGTAGAACGAAAATTCATCAACGTTTTTTATGATCATCAATTAGGTTGAATAACTTGATTGGAGAGAGGGAGAGAAAGTGAAACATGGAAAGATAAAATTGATCGGAATTATAAGGCCGGAAAACTGATCGAAATGAATAAGAATATGCGATCTATGGCTTGGTTTTGATCATCAAAACGCAGATTTGATCGATCTGCGATTGATGAGAATGAGGTGGATTAGAAGACCAAGTAAAATTTGAACGTTTCTCTATTCAAAAGTAGATATCGTTGAACTGATTTTTACGTATCTCGGGAGTCATATTTATACACAGTTGCACGGTTAGCTTGGGAGGTTTGGTAATTTTCCACTGTATGTATGTATGTATATATGTGTGTGTGTGTGTGTGTGAAAATCGTGCCCCTCTTCACTTTGTTGTGGTAGTGACGTGAGCTAACCAAAGCTAGCTAGATGTCTTGGATGATATTTAAGTATGTGCAAAAATAAAATAAAAAAATAAGGAGAAACACCATCCACAAATTACCCGAATAAAGGCATTCCATGCATATGATAGAAGAAAGTATAACCCTTAAACTCAAGTAGGGTTCGGTAAATTTTTTGTGGACACCATCCACAGTTTGTACCATATTTTACCTTGCCTTTGGCAAAGAGTTAATTATCTTGATTATTTCTTTTAATTTTCTTTTGGTAAAGAGTGACAAACAAGTAGATCGTATCAGTTTTATAGTACTTAAAAGTCTGAAGTTCTAGTCTCCCTTCATTACTTTTGTCTCACATTTGAAAAACATGAGATAAGTGCATTATCAATTAAACTGTATATACGTATGATCATGACAATCGAAATCAATATGATCATGATAATCAAAACGAATACTATTAAATATTTGTGTACATATATGTGAGTCCTATTGCTTGCAAAAAGATTTAAAATTGTAGTCTCTTTGGTGAAAAATATATCGTTTCTTACGCATATGTGACCTATAAGTCTTAATTAAATACTCAAAATGTCTTATCTTTTTTCTTCTTTGCCCATTCAAATAAGTATTTAGAATCACTTTCGTCTGCATAATCAACCTAATTAATTAAGTTAAATTATAGCTTAAGTAAAATTTAAATAGAGTTTGATCGTCATGTGAAGTTGAGTACGTTTTAGGAGTGCAAAGTAAAGACTTGGCGACCAAGTTGTATAAACTCCGTAACATCCACGCAGTCTGCTCCCCGTAGACAACTGCAACGATAAAATACATACTAAAAAATTGTTTAGGAAGTGGATATGTTGGGTACGGAACCAACACAAGCCAAGAGAATTACCCCACATTTATCTTCTACTATATTGAATGATTAATACTCACCACACGTTTTTTTAATATGAGTAATATTCAACTCTAACTTCATCCAAATTATGCATACATACGTAGAAGATTCGAACTTCTCTAGTCAAATTTATTTTTAAAACGGGATTAGTTGGTGGTTTCATTAAGATAGTCCATTTTTTTGGCTCTTCGGAAAAACTCACACAATCATTTTAATTTCTTTTGACCACCATTATGTGATTCACTGGCACAAAAAATAAAATTCAAGATGTACACCCGGACTTCTCCAGCCAACTTAACAAAATTTTAAATCTGCACAATCTACCACAAGGTCGTGTGTTTTCACCTTTATACGTACCTGCGTTATATAAAATTTTCATTAATTTCATGATTCAATCACAACCATCCGTTTAATTGTATGCCTCTCCCCTATAGTTTCCTGTTCCGCCTTATTTTCTGATTCTTCCATTGAACACCGGTAACGAGGGCAAGGCGTAAATTTGCTTCTTCATATCATCAATTTTCTGCCCATTTGATTCGAGGTATAAATTACCCGACGTACTTTTGCTCGATCATGCATGCATGCATGCATAACCCTAATTATCCATATAATTAATACGCTGTGCTTAGTGAATTCAGATCAGTGCATGCAATTACGGTATGGATTTTCTCAAAAAAGCCAAGGTGGTACGATTTCGAAGCCACCACAACAAATACCTATTGGCCGACGACGATCAAGTGTCGGTATGGCAAGGCTGCGACGGAACAGTGCAGAACGTGTGGTGGACGGTGGAGCTAATTAGCGAAAATCCAAACGCATTGCGATTGAAGAGCTGTTTTGGGAAATACTTAACGGCGTTAAGTACGCCTTTTCTTCTCGGAATCAAAAGTGACAAAGTCCTGCAAACCATGCCAATGACGTTGGATTCAATAGTGGAATGGGAGCCGGTTAGAGACGGGTACGCGTGGAAGCTGAATGCGGCCAACGGGCAATTCTTGAGTGCAAGCGGGTGTAGCGTGCCGCCGTGGAAAGACACGATCACGCACGACAATCCGCGTACAGGTACGACGAGAAATTGGGTTCTGTGGGATGTGGATGTTGTGGAGATTCGCGAACAACAACAAAAAGAACACATGAATGTTGATAATGTCAATGATAGTTCTAGTCGTTATAGTACTACTGCAACACAAGATCCAACAGAACCAGAACCACGGTCTGTTTCGCGGTCGGAATCTTCACAAACACAGCCAGACTCTCCAGAAGTCGTTGAACTTTCGTCAACCAATGATCGTACCAAGGATTCGGATAAAAAAAATACATAACATATATAATTAACGTTGGAATTTTGGGGTTATTAATTAGTACATATGATATGTATGCAAGAAAATCAGGGTTTTACTTGTAACATTGATGATGATTGATCAGATGATCTTCTTTCTACAAATTAGACTAAATTTCCTGATTATATATTTATACTCATGCACTACACCAGTTAATTGGATTTTGAATTGGGTGCTACCTTTTCTGTAAATTTTTCATCGCGAGGGCAAGATGAAGCTAAGTTTTTGTGTTTAGCTGAAAGTAATTTTCCAAAAATTGATTAGATATTACGGAAATTGACTGTAGATTTTTTATGTGTTCTATCGATACACAACTCTCTCAATTTTCGGTCATCGGATCAAATAAGTTGGAAAAGATAAATGGCCACAAATTTCAAGGGTGTGTGAGAAGTAAAAATGAGTGTGTGAGAAGATATAGCACTTTCTTTTTTTTCATTAGTACAATTGTATTTTAGATAAAGAATCTCACTAATATTGATGATTAAGCGCTTTCAAGTAAATGTTTAGTTTATAAAAATAATAAATCAAACCTAGAAGCACCTCTACAAGAAATTTGAACAAGAGTAATGCTAAGTAGACTAAATTTAAAGACAAAATTTGTAAAATAAATGACATGGAAGTTAATGATTGAATTATTACTTAAACGTTGATAAACGTGCTCACTTCCTATTGGTAACATATCATTTAGTTTGTAAATTTTATCTATAAATTTAGTATCTCTAATATTACCCTATGAAAAAAGTCACTAACATTAGTTGCACTAGTACAAAATAAAGCGCGTCAGCAGTAAATAACCTCTTAAATATTAATATCCTTTTTAGCCACCTCATTATAAACCTTTTAGCCACCTCATTTTGTGCAATATCAGTATTCACTATCAGTTTTTCGGAGGTGGATTGTCTACCTTCTTATTTTCATACTCTTCTCATGTCTTCCTATGATGTGTGATCACGGTTAAGCCACGTTAATATTTTATATTATTTTTTATAAAAATAATAAAACAAAAAGTAATAGGAATATAAAATATTAACGTAGTTTAACCGTGACCACACAAACAAGAAGACATAGAGAGAGTATGGAAATGAGAGGACAGACAATCCACCTCCCAGTTTTTCTTGTTCTCCCACTAAGTTGCAGACTTTGTCGATATGTTCCAAGAGAATATCAATACGCATTTGGTTTAATATCCTTGTAAATGGTCTTGGTTCGAACCCTCCGCTTAATAATAGTATAAAAAAAAAAAGAGAACATCAATACAATTGCACAACCTAATGGGAGCCCTACATATAGCTTCTAGCTAGTAGTTCAAGAGAAAATCATACATGTTTGTCACTTTTTTTGTAGAATATTTTTTTCAAGATAAAAAGTAAAAATTTATCATTGTAATAGAAAAGGATATTGAAATCGTGCCTCAAGTAGAGTAAATAGATAACCGGAATATGATTGGACAAGAATTTCAATCTCAAATCAAACTAATAAAATCTTGCAGCAGAAGTACGTAAATGAACACAAGGATTTTTGTACCCAATGGTACGAGGAAAAAACCCAACTGGGAAAAACCTATAGAAATCCATTAAGAATGGACCGTTACAAGACTCAAGAAGATAGACTCTAAACAAGAATTTACCCCAATACTTTTGTCTTGCCTTACACGGTCACGGTCCTTGCTTGAACTCTTTCGAATCAATGATCCTCACGAACAAGCATGCCAGCACACAGCTTCCAATATGGAATATGAAATATGAAGATGCAAACTAGAAATAAAAGCTTCATAAAGTAGCTGTATCATTCTAATTCCCCATGAACTCACCTCTGCTTCTCTCAATATAAATCTCTCAAATCAGTTTTTTTGCAAAAGTCAGTAACAAAGGTCTTGAAGCTTTGTTTTTTTTAATCAAGAGAAATCACGTTCCAAAAAGAGTACGAAAAAGTAGAATTGATTTTTAACATGAAGAGAGGAAAACAATATGCTGATTGATTTTATTATGAATTTCATTCCTAATAAAACTTAATCGCAAAAATATAGTTTTCCTAATATGATATGCAAATGCAAAGTACTAGACGTAGTCAACTCTTGATCTGCTCAATCTGGATAAGTCTTGTGACCCAAATTAATTTGCCTAAAAACTAGGCATAAATCTACGAAACGAGGACACAATTACAAGTCTAGGAAATTAGCCAATTCCCAAGTAAATTCACATTTACAGATATATATAGTTTCCTCAATTTCCTCATCCTCTGTCAACCGTTGCCTCTAATTCCTTCCCCTTCACAAACACATAACGCAAGGCGCGAACTTGCTTCATATCATTTCCAATTTTAGTTCAAGGATACAAATCACTTTGAAAATTTCACACGAAAAATACGAGCGAAAACTCGTAATTCTGACAATTAACGTTGTACATTTTGTTCAATCGATCTCTCTGAAGTTTTTATGTGCTTAGTCACAGTACTTGATCGGTCTTATTGTTTCATAGAGGTACACATATGGAGTTTTTCAAAAGAGCCAGAGCAGTACGCTTCCGGAGCCACCACGACAAATATCTGTTAGCAGACGAGGACCAAGAGACTGTATGCCAAGATCGAGATGGCACGGTGAAGAATGCCAAATGGACAGTGGAGCTTGTCGAAAATGCAAACACTTTACGATTCAAAAGCTGTTATGGCAAGTACTTAACAGCCTCTAGCTTGCCATTCCGTCTTGGATTGCGAGGCAAGAAAGTTCTGCAAACCCTGCCAAAGAGATTAGATTCGTCCCTGGAATGGGAGCCTATAAAAGAAGGACACCAGGTCCGGCTCAAGACGCCCTATGGCCAGTTCTTGCGCGCAAATGGGGGCGTACCGCCTTGGAGAAACTCTGTCACCCATGATGTCCCGCATAGAACTGCATCCCAGGATTGGGTTCTGTGGGATGTAGATGTTACAGATATTCGGGTTGCATCGCCAGAACGTCACCCAGTGGCGAAACCCCCTCCTCCACCACCAGATGCATTACCTTCGGAGTCTTCAGCACCTTCAGAACCGACATCTTCATCTGAGATTGACATTAGAACGCCGAAGGCTTCCAAACAGGAGGTTTGTTTTAATTAACAAATATGACTTCTATGACTATCAAGTTTAATTATATTTTGGCTTCTTATTGTTTGTTCTTGAACGCAGTCAAGCGAGTCATTTGATCATGATTCGCCAAGGAAAGATGCAGGGAGAATGATCTACTATCATGTGGCTAATGAGAAAGGAGACGTTGCGGATTCATCGGAAGAGTTTTCCTTCCCATTCAAGGGTAGTGATGTAGAGGGGTTGAAGCAAAAGTTGAAGGAAGAAACCGGGCTGGAGGAAATTGATGTGTGTTCACGCAATCCTCTGAACGGACAACTATATCCCCTTCGCTTGCATCTTCCGCCAAACAACCATGATATGCATATCGTTGTAGTTCTGTCATTGTCCGAAGGTTAGAATTGTTTCAAGGGGTTTTCATGTCTTCATCTTGATCATTCTAAAAAAGTTAGATATGTCCGATTCCAAAAAGCTTACTGAAACAAAAGTATTTTGTAACTAAATTTGTTGATCACATTGTTAAACACCTCTCTCACGGATGTGCAATTTACAGAGAACCAACCTATAAGTGGGTTTCACCTCCGTGGGAGACTGATCGGTGAATGTGATAAATGTGTGTTTCTTATAGTACGTGCACATTTTTAACGAAAATGTATGTTTATTCCTAGTTTTTCGTTTTATATTCGTGCATGGTTTACTATGATTGTCTTCTGCCCTTCACAAGCAGGAAGTGAACTTGACTGAATTTGCAAAACCTGTTAACATCAGATACCGTCTTGTTCATATTCTGTACATTCAGCTCCATAACTGCTCAAATTTTTAGAGTATAGATAGGAAAGGAAGTAGCACATCATGCAAAGAAGCAAGGAAATGTCGTTCGCAGATTTTTTGGGTAAATTGGTTCTTCAATTATTTCAGGGCCTGATGGAGTTACTTTATTCAATTTTCGATTTCTTGATGTATGAGAACAAAAAACAAGTCTAATTTAGCAGGGCCAATTGTATTTCAACTGTATGTTTCCTAATGTGAGGTTGAAGTTCGTAACTGAGATCAGTAAGTAGAATACATATGCAGCCAATTCATCTCTAATCTCATTTAAAATACAAGATATAATTCATGGAGTTGATACATCAGGAAATCGTGTTATGGACTCTCCTAATGTTTCCATGATTAGATAGATAGAACTAAGGAACTAGCTTTTGTTGCAGGTGGTGATCAACGGTAACATGTTTATCCAAGATCGAATCCTGCAACGATTTTATCTTCAAATTTTGAATAATTTTTGGAACACTTTTCATCGAAATGCTTGTGGGTTAAAGGGTTAATAACATGGAATAAGATATGCAGGATGTAATTGTTCATAGGAAAGAATTTTACGTACCCTTTTCTGCCTCATTCGGAGTGATGAGGATTTTTCCCAAACAATCTCATCAAGTCAAATCATTCATCTTTAGTCAGACGTAACTTTGAAGAGAACACTTGAGCAACAACAATTTAGGGCAAGTACCGACGGGTAATGAGAAGTCATAATCCTTGAGGATTCGCTATCCGGAAGGACCAGAACTGTCCGCATTAGGCATGCAAACCCTCCAATCATGGCTGCCCACGAGACTGCATTCCTTTTCGACATTCCCTTAAGGGCTTCCACAGCCAAATCTGTTAATAAAACTTGATTTAGCTGGGTTTAATTTCCAGAAGGCTGAACAGAAGCAAAGAAACAAAAGACAGAGGAAGCTGAACCGAAAAAGTTTTTCTTTCTTGTTCTCTCTTTCAAAAGTATTGCAGAGGAATAATCTTTTGTACAGCACACACAATGCGCACTCACTCTGCTTTACATTTAATTGATGGCCTTAGCTTTAGGACCACACAAAAACACTACTTTTAATCTTAGACATTCATCAACCTAATTACAAGGATCAAACACCACATGGCACTCATGGCCTTACATCTTTTAACTTTACACTTGGCAGATATGCTCAAGTGAATACACACATTAAAACTCATCTTATTTCTAATACTTAATCAGCTAGAGACTTATAATTCAACATAAATCAACATATCGACGAGCGCAGTCCCAGCAAACACGTCCGACTTCAACTCTTTCCCGTTTTTAACATACTCATGAATCCACTTCCCTTGCCAAAGAGCCCCCAGATTAGTGTTAGGAATGTCGGTACTACAAGATAGAGAATACATAAAGTAAAGTAGAAAATTGACACCAAAAATTTACGTGGTTCGGCAATTTATGCCTACATCCACAAAACAATGATCAATCTTCACTATATGAAAAAGATGAGTACAACAAGAGTAGTCTTACCAAGCCAAAAACAAGGCATGATGGATACAAGAAAGTATAACACACACTTTCTATCACTCAAAGTTCACTCACACAATGTGTAGTGGAACACTCTCACTCTCACTCTTGGAGTGGAACTCTAACTTTGGACTTGATCCTTTTCTACTCACTTCTTTCTTGATTGGTTCCATCACTACAACATCACACCCATATTTATAGGTGAGGGCTCGGCATTCAACTAGTTTATAGTTCCTTCTACAAACTAGAACTAGTTTTTAGTTTTTAGTATATTCTATAAACCTCTAGCTCAGATAATTCTAGACTAGCCACAAAATTGTGGCTTATAGATCTTTCCATTTGCAACCAAGGAAGCTAGTACTTTCTTGCTTCTTCTACCAACTTAATAACTTGCTAGAATTGTCTAGCATGTTCCAACCACCTCACTTGCTTACTAAAATAATTTAGAACATTCATCATGGGCTGGATCATATACCAACAATTTGCACAACCCGCAAGCCCCGTAGCAACACAAAAGTCATCAGGCCGAAACCTACATACCACCCCGTAGCAGTTAAGTACCTTTGCCACAGAGACTTTTGACAAACTTGGTAAGCAATTTCTTGGTACCCAACTGCTCATATCTGAAAATGTAGGAAACAACGCACAAGAATTTCGCCCAAATTTTGTAAAATATATGACGTAGTTGTTAATGATTGAATTACTTAGTGTTGATTTTTTTTTTTTTTCAAACAATAAATTTTGTTATATTAGATGTTAGGTCAGCCACCGACGGAGTTTGAACTCACGCCGTCATGCAAGGGCTTAACACAACAACACACAAGAATTTCGACCGAATTTGTAAAATATATGACGTAATTGTTGATAATTGAATTATTACATAGTGTTGATTAATGTGTTTATTTTCTATTAGTGACACATCACATAATTTGTAAATTTAATTTAAAATTTTTAATCTCACTAACTTTATTCTTCACCAGTAAACTGACCTAATTTAATCGGTCAGCTACTATACAAATGGTCCAGATGAAGATGCTGTCGGTGACGCCGGAAGACCTAATTAAGACGTGAAAATTTCCCCTTGTATTTTTTTTTGACGTAACAGTGTTGTTAGTCTGATCTGAATCATGGACAAGCATGTCTGCGGTGAACGAGCAAACAAAATTTGGGTGCTTCCACTTTAGAAAGTGCTTTTTCTTTCTCACCCTTCCTTTTTTTTGGTCGAAACCTTTTTATTTTTCTTAAAAAGTGGCTTTGATTTGTCTGAATGGTCAATTAGGTTGAATGGTTGATTAGTCGTGTGAATAGACAAAACAAGGTCTCAAATCAGTCGACTTTTCGTTTGGGATTAAAAGGATTATTGAGAAACACTTTGCTAGTTAAGTCAATCCACATGCGGTAACTCTATTGAAGTTTTTCTCTTATACAATCTTAAAACTATATAGATCTTGTGTATTTTGATAAAACTTTAACTTTACCCACCATGTTCAATTTAATTGGAGATTTGGAGTACATTATTGTTAATCTACTATTGGGATGATAAGTGAAAGATCAACTAAATATTATTGAAGGTACAAGATTTGAGCTTGGAGTTTGGAGCCGTCATGAACATTTTGACCACGTGGATTTTGTGTTAGTTGGAATCCAATATTCCATGCTTACGATTTTTCATAGCACGGACATTATGGTCAACCTAGAGGTCCATAGAAAAACGATCCGACACCATGGTAGATCAATAGACTAAAATTTAATAAATAACAAATATCATGTAAAAAGACGGACACCGTTACGTTATTTGATAGTATATTAACACCTCGATTGTGCGCCTTGTTTTGAATTGTCGACATCTTACTTTGAAGTCGCAAAAATATTTTTATAAATATGCCCAAAACGGTTGGCCACAAGTCCCGCAATTCAAACTGGGATACTAACGTATGGTCCAAGTATTTTTCATATAATGGAATACCATGGGAGGACTAGTCACTCCAATTTTAAATTAAAGAGTTTTTTGGTATTATTTACCTAATTTTTTTATTTAAAAGTTAATGACACCTAGTGGTTTAGTTACATTTATTATAGTTTTTTGTTTATCTAATTTTTTATTTTAAAGTTAATGATACTTAGTGGTTTAGTTACATTTATATTTGAAGATTATAAATCTTTTAGTTAAATAGCAAACAATCCCTTAATTTTCTTGAATGGTATGGTCCAATGGTTAAAGACAAATTTTAGACTCATGTTTCACACGATACTAAATTTAGTACCTAACTTTAGTGAATAATATAAAAGAATAGACTATCATAATGAATTAAAAAAAGATTAAATTTTAATTTATTGATCTGAAACTAAAATACGTAATTATGGGAAAATTGAAGATATGCGGAATATGGCAGAACCCAATGGATGTTGGTCAATCTAGAAGTTTATTTTATTTTATTTTATTATTTTATATTTTATAAATGGTCAATCTAGAAGTTTAGAGGGAGATGGATTGTCCGTCCTTCCATTTTCATATTCTCCTTATGCCTTTTTATTTGTGTGATCCCGATTAAACTACGTCAATATTTTATATTCCTATTACTTTTTATTTTATTATTTCTATAAAAAAAAATAATATAAAATATTGACATAACTTAATTGTGATCACACATTACAAGACGGCACGAGATGAGTATGAAAATGGAAAGGGAAACAATCCACCCCCAGTTTAGAGGTCCAATCAAACCAAATGAAGTAGATTCTCAACAAATCCAACCTGCCACTTGTCAAATAAATAAATCATGGTACTAATTACGGTGCAAAAAGCTTAATAAAGTTTAACAAAAGGACAAGGTCCAAAGCAACAAAACTAAAGCTATAATTCACGTCAATCATCGTTCCTTCTTATATTTATCGTTTTTACAGAATAAAACATGATCGATTTGAAATTGCATTATTGTTGCACATAAAATATTAGAATTGCGATATTTAAAAACTGTTACACATTATATTAAAAAAAATAAAACAATTACGCACTATAACTTAATTTATCTTTCCAAATCCGAATGCTTGATTATCTTAAAATACTTGTTGACAAAACTTCACATAAAACTATATAATTAGTTTGAAATTCTGTCCTCGTAGTACCGAGATAACCTTTTTTTCTCCCACATGGGTTTGGGAGTGGAGTTGGTCATGGACAGCTACACTTTGCACATGGAAGGAAATCCGAAATCCAAAATCCGTGTAGACCTTTCCACGTCGCAATCCATGCTTTGAGCTGCATATTCCAGAATCCAAGAATGTTTATCTCCAAACACATCCCTTATATAATATTTCCTCTTTTTCTTCAATTTTCTTTATTTATCCGAAAAAATCTCACTCCTCCGCTCCTCTAGCGGTTAACGCACATCACCTTTTCTGTCTGCTATTTCCCGTGACTCGCTCGCCCGAGTCGGCGCCCCGAGTTTCCCTCCGAGCTAAAACTCCGCCGTATTGCGTCTGTGGTAATCTCCAACACTCGCTGGCATGCGCCTATCATACACCTATACGTACACCTATACATACACGTATACGTGTGTGTGTATATATATCTGCTTTCTCTGATCGAGCGGCGGTGAGTTGCTGAACGAGCTCTGTTGCTTCTGCTTCGGATTTGAGCTGTGGAAGTGAGAGTTAGAGAGAGAGAGAGAGAGAGAGATGGAGGAGGAACAGGAGAGAGAAATCGGAGAGAAGATAAAGATTGGAGTTTGTGTGATGGAAAAGAAGGTGAAATGCGGCTCCGAGGTTCATCTTTTCTAGTTTCCTTTTTGCTCACTTTTGCGTACGCTTCGAAAGCAATCATGTATTTGTATCGAGTGATGTATGTATACAATGAACTTATTCGTTTTCTGCAGGTGTTTTCGGCGCCGATGGGGGAGATTCTCGAAAGGCTGCAAGCATTTGGCGAATTTGAGGTGCTGGTTTTGTTTTCTCTTTGGATTTTCGTGTTGAAATTGTTCTTGTTTGCGAGTTCGATCTAATTTTCCATTTTTACCGATGATTATTACGTATCGAAAAAGTTTTAGGAACTGTTAGTGTTGTTGATCGTTTTATACTGCAAATATATACGCAGTTTCGATTTTACGGTATAATCTTATACATTTCGTGTTTGTGAATGTTCGCGTAGATCACACATTTTGGGGACAGAGTCATTCTTGAAGATCCAATCGAAAGGTATATTTTAGTAATGATTATCGTAACAGTATCTGTTTCGCACATTTTATGTAAGCGCCGTGGTTTTATTTGAGCAGTGATTGAAACGGCATGAAATGTTCGTGTTCGTTTACGCTGATAGTTTCAGTAACTTGGTGACTGTTGCAGTTCATAAAATTTAGGTGACTAATTTGTTTGCACTGTTACTGTATGTCAGCTGGCCAATTTGTGACTGCTTGATTGCCTTTCATTCCTCTGGCTATCCTTTGGAAAAGGCTGAGGCATATGCTGCTTTGAGGAAGTAAGCTCCGCTGTTGCTCATGTACAGATTCTATTTGATTCATCCGTTCGGTTATATTTGATAAGGGACGGCTGTTTATTTCTCTATCTGGTCCTTTATCCAGGCCTTTTTTAGTAAATGAGTTGGAGCCGCAACACCTTCTCCATGACCGGAGGAAGGTATATGAGGTATGGTTATGAATTTCATCTTATTAAGGTTTTCAATTATCCTCCTGCCCCCTGCCCCCCGCTCCCCTCCATACTCCTTAATGTTCACTAACGGTATTTTGTAGAGAATTACTAAGTCAAAAGTGGATGAGTCTTGATGCATGAACTTAATGTTTCACTCTTATTATTTCTTATAATTATGTTTATAAGAATAAAATGTCAGTAGCTAATGAATTAGTTTGGTGGATTCAAGCATCTTGAAATGCACGGAGTCCC